TGCAGTCACATGAGCACAAGACAACATGTTTAGTGAATGTAGTTTTTACTGATCTAAGGCTTTTGGGTGTACAAAAGTCTTATTTGATCTTGTTCAGAGACTTTCAGTAGCCCAATATACTGAACAGAAAAGCTTTAAAAAGTTACCAAATACAGAGTTTAAAAGGTGCAGTGGTTTATTTGGTTTTTGTGCTGGCAATAAGAATGAGTGTAGCTGCTCACTGAAGAAAGCATATGGATCACTACTTTAACAGTTAGTGAGGATGTTAATTAATTAATTAATTAATTAATTAATTGTATTATTTGTAGCATACAAGAGAAGATATTTTAGTAACAGAGAAACTTTTGCCAGTGAAGGACCACTATAATGACTGTAGCATCCTGGTTTCCTTTTCTTTACTTTCTGATACCATCTTTTTCCATTCTCACTTGTACTTTCAGTATAACGCAATTTACTTCCCTGGTATTCCCAACCTTGGACCTTTCATTTTCTTGTGCCAAGAACGTAACAAGCACACATCCTCTCTGAATTGCACAATACACATGACAGGACCATTTAGCCCTTAATATTATTTCTATTTTAATAACCATTTATATTGGTGGTAGTAACAGAGGTAAGGATTTTAAAATATATATGCAATATAAGATATAGCTTTGAATTTATATTAAGTTTTATGTCCCTTTTTAATTTGTGTGAATTTATTTCCAAGAAAAACTAATAACTCTGGCTTGAGCCAGTGACCTCCTCTGTATAAAATAATTTACAGAACAGTGCAATCCTTAGATCCCAGGATCATAATAAACCAAGGCATAAAGATGTGCTACAGCATGTTATGATTATATCACCACAGAGTTCACAGTTTCTTACCTTTTAACAGAGAAACATGATATTTCCTGTAAGAGCAGAGTAATAGGTCTGCTTTGTTAAAAGGGCAGAGATAATCTGCATAGTTTTCTGGTCTATAGGAAGTTCATAATCAACTGACAGTTCATTTAAATCACTATTTCTTAAAGGCATGGTATTAAATATATCTTAAATGAGTGTTATCTAGAATATAGCACATGACAATAATTCTAGGTGTACATGTAATAAAACCCAACTTAGTCACTGAAAACATTAAGAAAATATAAACTTATTACGACAATTGAAACTCATCCATCAGCAGTAAATACTGGAACCAATTTGGTGAATTAAAAAGACGGGATTTTATGATTGCTCACTGATAAATTAATGCTATGTTCAGTTTCATCTTAAAGCTAACCACTTGAGTAATGAGTTCTCAGAGATGACAAACATGTTTCTTTTAAGAATAACTACTTTTCATTTGTTTGAAAGAAAATGTCCAAATTCAAGATCTAATCCTTGCTGAAACTGCTGGATCGCTCTTAAAAATATGGGCTAAGTAGTCACCACAGCAACAGGAATACATTTAATAAAATTGCTAGTGTTTTTAGTGCAGGCTAAATATTATTGTAGGAATTTAAATATTCTTATGGCTTTGGACTGATTGTGCTGGTTGCACAGTACTCTGAATCGTAAGGAAAGTTGTCCTAGAACCTCCTGCTTGCTGTTACTGATAGAGCACCATCTGTGCACGGGGTGTTTTTCAAGAAGTGTAGAACACAAGGTTCTTGACCCGAACAGATTACAGTTGAACTCAGTGGAACAGGAAATACCCAACAAACTTTCCTTGCAAAGCCTGATAACATCGTTAGTGATAAGGTCAGCATGGGAGGGTTTGTGAAAGAAATGGATTTCAAAAAGGAGGGGAGAGGCTTCTAAGCAGGATTCTCAAACTAGAGAGGGAAACACCTATTTGGCAACTGGGCCCAATCCTGTAGGGATGCTTTGAGTATGTCTAAGATCTGATACCTGTCAGACCCCACACTGGAGGGCAGGATACAGGCTGCCAATAGGGGGCAGCACCACATCCACATTGAAGACAGCCAGGGGCACAGGGAAATATAGGGCAACAATGATGGTTTCAACTCCTACAGCATGGGCTACCTGAGCAGCTGATCTGGCTTAGGGGGGCCTAACTTGAGGAAGAGTTTTGCAGCAGAGAATCCTGAGTAGAGGGAGGTGCCTATCTCTGCCCAGTCAGCCAGGTGTACTAGGTCAGCTCTCTTAGGCTGGCATTTCATTCCTGGCTAGTTTAGTTAGCTCCCTGCTCAGCTTGCAGGCTTCTAGGTATCCCCTTCTTTTAGGCACGTGTCTCTCCCTGCACATTTTTTAGGGAGCCTAGGAACCTAGCTTGGGGTTGGGGATTCCACTAGGTGACTGGCCATCTAGGGGTTAGGTGTTGCAAAGCTAAGTGGAGCAACACCTACATACCTTTGAAGATCTGGGCTCTTGTACCCACAGAGTCCCACTGAATTCAGTGGGACTCCACAGAAGTATAAGGGTGTTATGCACAAGGGTGTGTATTTGTAGGACTGGGACCCTATGAAATAAAATGAAAGGAATAATCTATTTTATATCATTGAAAGCTCAGGATTTCAATTTAAAATGAAAGTTTATCATCAGTCCTTGATCCTTTAAGTGGGGAAGCTTCCTAATATCATTCCTCTTCCATTGGGACCTTTACTAATTTCCATGGTCATGTTTTCTCTGGTGCGTCTGGGGGTTGGGGGGCTGGGGCTCCTCTGCATCTCCACCAGTTCCCAATTCAAGTTTTCTGTAATGTGCTTCCCGTGTTCGTAACATGTGAGGGGTTCTCTACACCAAACAAACAAGCAAAACTACTTTGTGAGAGAGGATGATCAGAGTAAAGTAAGAGAATGACTCAGGTGGCCCGTCTCTTAGGCAGGCTTTCTGGGACCAGCTCTTTGGGACTTGGTTATCAGCTGGCCTACTGTCTTTAATTAGGGTCTACCTGCAGCCCCTTCTCTTGGGGCACCCTTCTTTACAGCTGGTCCATGATGTTTCAGGGCAGTGAGGCCTCTGAGTGTTTCTTTCTTGGCAGATTACTCTCTGAGGTGTAGCAGTCTTCTTCTTGTTCACCATAACCCAACCCACCCTTGGCGGGTTTTCTCTCTTTAAGAAATCCCGTCCCCCCTTCCCCCGCCCATTTCTTTCCAGTCAGAACAACCCTAACAGGTATACCTCGTTAGCTAGCGCTGAACAAGCCCCAAAACACTCGCTAGTCTCCTCTCCCACAAAGTGAGAGTGTACCCTTCACACTCTCCAGTGTTTTACTGCTACTTTAAAAGCAAACTAATTCAATACTAAAATGTCAGGAGTTCTACAAAAATGTCAAGACAATCCACTTCTATGCACTGCCTAGTACAAAAATAAAAGTAGGCATCTATTTCCCTTGTAGTATCTATTGTACCATTTGGGAATTAGGAGAATGGTGATGTTGGATTAGTTATTGAAGTAGCCTGTTGGAATTGGACCATGCTTTTTGGATAACGAGCGAATGTTCCCTCACACAGCTGCTAACAGGGACTGGTGCCATTTGCCTTGAATGTCCTTAAGATCTATTTGCTAAATGTAGGTAATTTGTTTCCCTCAGTTTTTAACTTTAAGTATATCTATTATACCGCATTTACAAGATACTTCATTTCAATTAACATTTAATTTAGATTTGCCCAAATGCATGCTGTGATTGCTAAATGATTTAAACGTTGTTCTGCTAATTTTGACATAAACCAGGATCACTAAAATTACCTCCTTTCAATGGTATTCTTCTGGAAAAATTGCAGCTTCCTAATGTTATTCTTTCATCACTGCTTTCTAGCAATTTTAAAAGGGTATAAAACAACATATTTTTCTACCAGATGAGTTTTAGCAATATTTCTGTTTAAAATTGTATAATTTTTAACAAGTGCTGAATCCAAATGAAGAATCTGGTACAAATCGAAATTTAGACACATACAAAATGTTGTAAGAGGCATACTTCTACTTTTTGAAATATGATGTCAGAATCTCAGCTGCCATAGCTCAATTGAAATAAATGGTGCTAGGCTGACTTACAGTAGCAGAGAGTCTAGCCTATTATCTTAAATATGATATTCTTAAAATACTGTGAATTTGTGCCCCTTAGTAACACAGGCACCAGAATGTGTATGCACATAAATGCATGCGCCTACTTTTGTAAATTGGTTCCATAAGATACAGCATGCTGCATTGATGTTAAAAAACTACCAGTTAATTCCATCAAATAACAAGAAATGGTTTATTAATTTGTTTCTCATAAATCACATCTATGGTATTAATACCTTATAGTACTTTAGTGGAAAATAATGTAAAACAAATCAAATTTCATTGTAGGCATCAAAAGAAGTAGCAGATTAATTCTGACTTTTTGGCAGTACTCTTACGAATTTTTCATTTCTGATAGCATTGCATGTAGTAATATTTAGGTGGTAAATTAAGGGACAGTGATGGCTGTTCAGTGGTGCATCCCCTTTGTGCTGCTTTTGCTTTGTAGAAGAAGTGGCTTTTAGGCTTTTAAGGAGGAATTTGAATAGAGAGAGGAAGGGTTGTTTGGGCCCCAGTTCACCAAATATGTGCACTCCATATGTTCACTTGGAGTCAATGGGACTTAAGCGCTTTCTTATGTCTGTTGCTGAACAAGGCTGGACTACTGAATCAGGGCTTTGGAGCAGAAGTTGTGGAAGACTGTTCCAAGTCTAACCCATGCTTACAAAATGTGACTCTCTCTTTCTCTTGTGACTGAACCACATTGAGGCTTATGAGCCTACTAATGGAGCAAGGTTATTTGGTTGAGGTAGTTGGATGTTTGAAGATCAAGAAGTCCCACATTTGATTTCCTCATCAGAGACGACTTCTTTAGAGGTGTTGCATTACATGAGTGTAAGGGAATCAGCATGTTTAACATTCGCACAGGAATTCAGTAGCTGGTAGCCAGACTAAAAATTGTTAGCAAAATTATACAGTTTTTATTCTTAAAACTATTTAAAGCAATGCCACATTATTACACATTTGGTTGCACATATCACTAATGGTTTATGAATATATATTCTTCTTCATAGATTAATTTCTATATACTAGTGAAGGCAATCTACACCCTTGGACACAGTGCATCTCTGATTGCTCTAACGACAGGAAGTATAATTCTTTGTCTTTTCAAGTAAGTACCTCACATGAACAAAAATAAGCAAGAAAATAGGAAAATATTTTAAAATCCTTGTTTGTTTTATGATTATTCAGATGTTTAGAAAATTGATGATTTTTACACTTCGAAGAATTTAATAACAAATAATAGTTGCATTCGTAACTTGAATTTATGTTTGCACCTCTCATATCAGAGGATTCCAGAGAACTTTAGAAATTCATACATAGTACAACCTACATGCACAAGATTAGACCAGATCTAAACGATTTAATGCTTTATTGATCAAAATCAACACCTTGAATTGTACCTGAAAATAAATGGAAAGCCAGTCAATACTAACCAAGTGAGCAGCCATGTTCTGGTGAAGCTTCTCGGTGGTCTCCAAGTGTGTTCTAATTTCGAGTGTCTTCAGTAATGATTCCTGAAAGTCAAAAAGGTGGTGAGATAGTGAAGAGAAATACCATAGTCACAGTGCTTTTGTTAAATGGAGATGGACAAATGCTCTCCTGGCCATTGACACTACTTGAGATTCTGGGAGTAACCCACAATTCAGATTGGTTCACAGAATAAAGAAGGGCAGGAATATATTATGGGAACAGATACCTTCAGATGCCTGCTTATGAGTTTCACCTCCTCCTGCCTACTAGCATCACCTTTATCTTCTTCAAACTAAGCTTCAGCCAACTTTCTTTCATCCATGCCTGCAATCTCCACCAGGTACTGAGAGCTGAGAAAAGGCATCGTCCAGCTTCAGCAAAAAGAAGATGTCGAGCTGCATGTTATCTGCAGCATGGTGGCGCCAGAGCCCCAGCCCTGCCACAATCTACCACAAGGACGAGATCTTTTGTGGTCTTTCTGCAAAGAACGAACAGAGCAATTTCAGGAGTAATCTCCTCTATCCTAGTTAAGGTCTGCAAGCAAATCAACACCACCTTGTGTTCAACACTGTAAATGGCTATTAGTGCATTTGAAGGACTCGCGCATAGACTCCTGACTTATGTCCATCGCTAGAAGGTAGTCAGTTGGTGAGACTGAAAACCACCTTCGTGCCTGAAGCAAGACTGAAGAGGGGTTGGGAAAGTAAGAAGAATCCACAGGACATCAATGTACGCCTTATCACAGACTCCTCAAAACCGTCACCCAAAAAAGGCAGGTTAAAGAGAATCAATTTGTTTCCCATGCAACAAAGAAATGCTTACTTTAGGAAAGCTAGTCCCCTGGGAGATAATGTCTGTCACTAGCAATGGAAATGAGCACAAACCAATATGTGTAGGTACACTTCATTCACACAGTATCGACAAAATGGGGTATTGTATATATTGGGATCATTTTTTGGGAGGTGGGGATATTTTTAGAATTTCCAGTCCCCCTCCCTTCTACCCAATTAATGTATCCTCAGTGATAAATCACACTTTGGAATATTGGCTTGAGAATCTGATGCAAATGCCTTTAAAAACCAATATCTTGCAAGGGGTGATCTAAGGATAATAGGTAGTGAAAGGCTCCATTTCCCATTCTCCAGGATCAGAGTAGCTGAAAACACCTTTATTAGCTATTTATATTTATATTGAAGAGGCAGTTATTGTCTGACAGGATCCCAAGGTGCTTTACAGAAAGTACCAATGTATTGTATATAAGGATCCACTGAAATACATCCATCTTTGGGATGGAGCCATCCGGCCTATACAATAGTATTTAAGAGAAGTAAAGAATAACTTCTTCAAATGAAACTCCTGGGAGGAATTTCTGGCAATTACACTAGTGGGTTAAAAATTAAAAGTTACTAAAGCAACAAAAAAAAAAAATCTAAATCCTAACTTCATCCAACAGGATTAAAGTTTGAATTTTTGATGTTAGTAATACATAGGATTTTTAAAACTGTGCATTGATGCACACAACTACATCGGTGGAATTGGACATGCTTTCCTCAAAATCTATAGCATTTATCCCTGAACACGTGCACCATTATTTTCTGTAACAAAGTTCTGGGGTGGAAGGAATTCAATTTAACTGTGGGTGCCTGTATGTACGTATAACAAATATATAAAACCTCTCATTTAGCTGGCTCTGTTTGCTTCCTAGTCTAGCACATATTAAGGAGTTATGAATAGCAGAACTGACACAACTTCAATGCTTTCTGATCTTTATTTAATGTACAGGATACTATTTATGGCTAGTCATGCTAAAATTAGGGCAATTAGATGAGAAAAGGAAATTTTGTTTCAGAAAGTTTCACACATTTGCAAGGTTCTCTTGTACACTCTTCCTAAAATTGAAAATTCTTTATGTACTTGCAGAGTTGGGGATAAATTCAACCCTGGGTTTTCAGTCATTGCAGAAATCCAATCTGGATTCTGACTAGTTTTCCTACCAAAGGGCAGATTCTGAAGTATTTTAAGGGGAAGGAATTATGACTCTAGCATCTCTTTGATAGATTTGTTAATCCTAAATTGCCAGCCAGAGATACTGAGCTCCTAAACTCTCTTGCTATTCAAAATTGTACCAATTTTTCAAATGTCAAGGCTTTTTCATCCCAGGTGACACTTTGTATGAACATTATGATTAGAATTGGTTGAAAATTTTCTGACAGTTTTTCATCAGAAAATGCTGAGTTGTCAAAATAAACATGCTCCACAGGAATGTTGCAATTTTGATGAAATTTTGATGAGAAAAAAAATCAAATGACCTTATTGGAACAAAACATTGCAACTTTTCATTTCAAAACTGCTTTTCATTTTGAATTTTTTATATTGTATAATAATAATAATACCTCATTCTGATGCAGTGCTTTTCATCAGTTGATCTCAAAGCACTTTACAATTGAGGTTAATATCATTGCCCCATTTTACAGAGGGATAACTGAGGCACAGGGAGGAGAAGTGACACAAGGTCACCCAGCAGGGCAGTGTCAGAAGTGGGAATAGAATCTACATCTCCCAGTCCAGTGCTCTGTCCATTGTGCCACACTGCCCCTTATACAATTTTTATTCAGTCAAAATCAAAATGAAACATTTCAATTGACCCAAAACAAAATGTTGTTTAAAATTTCATATTGTGGAAAATATCAAAATTTGCTATTTCTGCTTTGTATAAAACTTTTTGTATATCTGACTTTGCTGCTGTTTGCATATATGCAGATTTCTACACATACAGAAATCTAGCAACTATCACTACAGTAAGGGCCTGACCTGCAAGGGCCCTGAGCACCTATCATTTTCACTGAACTGCAAGAGTACAGCATCTCTCAGGAGCACCTAGCTCCTGGCAGGATTAGACTTTTATTCTTTCAAATCCAGCATGAGAGAGAAACATGTTGTTCCTATTAATTATCCAAGGAAAATAATTAGATGCCTGGAATGTGACCTTGGCTTTCATAGGGATGTATTAAGCCATGTACTATAATAGCAATGGACCCTCAGCTGCTTTTGGATGTCTCAGGCCCTGCATCATCAAAGCTCTTAAGCATATGCACAGCCATTGAAGTCAATGGAAGCTGAGCAAGTGTTTAAAGTAAATCATGGGATTATGTCCTTTGCTGAATAGGCCAAAAATTCATTTTGCATCTCTGCCACGCTAGAAGGTTATGACTTCTTCTCTCAGATGCAGAGCTGACCACAATTGACCACGCTTTTGTCACCTCCAGAATGGGTTATTTAATGTTCTTTGCATAAGTCTATGCCGGAAGACCACTCAGAAGCTTCAGAATGCAGTCATCTGCCATAAAATTCTATTCTGTCTGCATTCCTTTAATAACAACAATATTCTCGAATCTGTACTAGTTTTCAGCTGCAGTTCAAGGTGTTGCTTTTTACTGATAAAATCCTGAGTGGTTTGGTTCCTGTCTGCCTTATAGATTCCCTCTCTCCTCTGCTGTTTAGTGAGATCAGCTAGGATAAATGCTGCATTAAAAGACAAGGTGCTGGAGAAAGGGTGTTTCAGGTGATAGGTCCTTGCCTCTGGAACCTACTTCCCACTAGAGTTTTTTGATTTTCCTGGCACACTGAAAACCTCATCTGTTTCCAAGCTTTCAAAGAGTAAAGGTTTTAAGTAAGTGCAGTCCAATTTGTATTTTTGTATGTACAATATTTCTGAATTGTTTATACATTCACCTGCATCCCAGGATGTCCATACTTTATGAATCAAAATACTGGAATTAAAGACAGAAAACTCCAACAAGAAAACATTAGGAAGGGGTATTTCAGAAATTTAGCCAGAAGAGCTAGGCTTTTCACTGGGAATCTAGAAGACAAAGGCTAGAGCACACCAAAAATAGAAAATGAAAAATCACCTTTATTATATACTCTTCATGGTAAAAAATGGCAGCAGGGCCTTTTAATCTGTGACACTGAAAGGGTGTCAAAGATGCCTTAATTGTATCCACTGGTCAGAATTTTTTTTTTAAACCCTGAAAGGGGACTTATTCAGGGTCACACACAGAGAAAGGGCAGGTACTCACTACAGGTTCATTTCACTAAGAAACAGTTTAAGACTAATCAAAAGACTGTACGATAGCCTTTCTGTCCTGGAAACTAAAATGCTTTTTTCAAAAAAATCTCTTCTTTAATGTAGAAAACTTCACTGCACGCGGAACTACATCCATCTGAACTTGTTCCTCTCTTTCATTCTAAGAGCAATCTCTGTTTTAGTCAAGGATGATATTCTTTATTCCAATTCCAACACAGCTCACTGTTCAGAGGATCAGTCGTCATGGGTAATGAAGCTTTTTTGGCTACACTGTGTAATATTTTTGCCTTTTAACCCTCTCCACCTCTGCATCCCTGGTGAATTTTTGGGAACACTAAGTTGTCAGTGGAGGGAGCTGTGAGAGAACTAGTGTCAGGTAGAACTGAGATGCAACTGCAGGAGAAGAAAGGGAGCAGAAGAGCTGGGAGGTGAGCTAATGCAGCTTTGGATATTCAGGCAGGTAGCAGAGGAATTTCAGTTATCAAAAAAACAGAATCAGCCATGGCCCAGGATAACTATGACAGCAAGGAGGTGGGGTAAGTCAGGGTAGAGGTTAGAAGTGGAAGATAAATCAGCCGGGAAATGGGAAAGGCTAGATGTTCTGAGAAGGCTCTTGCAGCTGTATCTGGAGTCAGAGGAGGGGCATTAAGGGAGGGAGAGCAATAAGAGACTGAGTGGGTATTTGTAGGAGAGAAAGAGGGCTCTAGCAACCAAGCCACACCCCCAGAAGGTGATGGAGGGCTGTCATCTGCATTCATGACAAACCATGTGGCACAGTAGGGATAAGGCATTAACATAGTATGCAGGGTTGCAAAATCTCAGAGGTTGAGAAGGTTGCACAGTTAAATGGTATATCACATTGTACAGAGCAGTGGTTTTCAAAGTTCGGGTTACGACCCAGTATTGGGTCGCGGAATCCAAGGCACTGGATGGCCTTGCTCAGCACCCAGGGACCCTGGTGGCTGGCCAGTAAAAACTAGTAGTCCTTACCCATTCTGACACCGTCCTGGAAGTGGCCAGCAGCACGTCCAGCTCATATGTAGGGGGGCCACGGAGCACAACCAGTGGGAGCTGGAGGGGGGGGTGCCTGCAGGCAAGAGCTGCGCTGAGCCGCTTGCACGCCTCACCCAAGGAGCCAGACCTGCTGCTGGCCTCTTCCGGGGCACAGTGCAGTCCACCATGCCAGGACAGGCGGGAAGCCTACCTCTGCACCGCTGACCAGGAGCCACCGGAGGTAAGCCCGTGCCCCAACCCCATGCCCCAATTCCAGCCCTGAGCCCCCCAAACCCGGGGCCCCTTCCTGCACCCCAACCCCCTCATCCCCGGCCCCAGTTTTCTTCAACTGGGTCACCAGAAAAAAAGTTTGAAAACCACTGGCATAGAGTATCCCCATCTCCTTGGTTTGGAGCAGAACTGCTGCAAAATAAATCTGCGGACACTGCTGAAGACCTCAGAGAATTTAATTTACAGTGTTTTTTCCCCTGCCCATTGTGGCTAAATTTAGAGTATAGAAAAAACTGAAGAAAAATGCAGTGTAATATTTTTGTATTGATAAAGCTACATTCTTCCATTGTGCAAACCTTTTCCAAGTGACTCTTAAGCTATATTTACACAATCCGTCAATTGAAACACTCTCACTGTAGAAATACTTAACACTGGCACTGTAAAATCATTGTAAACAGGTCACTTGGATTGACATCTCAGGGAGTCAAGAATGCTCAAAGCCTTGCAGGATTAGGCTCTTGGCCCTGATCATGCCTATTTGCACCCAAGTCGTTTCTGTTTTTGTCCTGCAATTACTCTTGTTTGCAGCTGGATATTCTTGCAGTTGGACTGGTCTAGATCAATGTGCTGTTCTCTAATTTCTGTTGCATTGTTGTTGAGATGATCTGATGTTGCTTGGAATAGGTACTGCTTCTTACACTATTTGAACCCTGGTTTAGTTATGTAACAGCTTGGAGAGTTTGACTCTCACATCATGTTTATGCATTCCACAGAGCTATTTGTGCTCTTGGCACAGCTCTTTTAAAACGAACAGTTTCTAAAACGGAATAACTTTTTTTACACAATTTGGCTGGCTGGTGGCATCTATTCATTGGCTGGGAACTGCCTCAGCTACAGGCTTAACTTCAAGAGGGAGGGCAAAAGACTTCGAAGAGGAGTAAATGGACACAAAGTGTATCATGACTTTGAGTCAAGATAAAGCCTTCTAACCCTGAATGCCATGCCGTAATCAGGTTGTAAAGAGAATTAAGCATCAAACCACATTTTAATTTACAGTTTAAAAAGTTACATTTTCCCCTGTGTGAAACCCTCTGCACATTTCCTTGTAGCATCAGATATCTTAGAACGGTACATTCTGAAAAACATCACACAGACTATAAATTGCAGAGGTCATAATGGAGTGATGCATTCTGGTTGTCTTTAACAAATTGGGAAACACTAGAGAATTTCACAGTGCGGGAAAAATATTTTTGATGGTACAGTCAAATTTTTATTTTCTAGATATCCTTACATCCTGACCAGTGGGACTGCATTTGGTACCTAATTCTATATTTTTCACTTTGACCTTTGAAAATTCACAAAGGCAAATTTTTGTTATTTTTCTAACAAATTAAAACCTCTAGGAAACTTTTAGGAAAACCTATAAAGTTATATGTGTTTATTATCTTAATTGATGGTCTTTGGTATCTTCCTTTTTTAATGTTTATGTCATGATGATTTCAAGGTTTCTGAGTAAATTGGCTGCAAGGAAGCCATAGAAATAAAGTTTTGGCTAACTAAATTCCTTTGTATAAGCATTCTTTATACTTTAAATGCATCTCCTTATTTCTAGGGGCCATTGAAAAATAACTTTTCTATATATTGTACATTGACATACAGGAGAGATAAGAGAACATAATATAGAGAGAGCTTGGGTCTGTAGAAAAATGTTTGTAACAAAATATTACTGCATTTTCTTTTCAAGAAGTTTAATCCTTGTTTGTTTGTAACACTTCAGGTTGGCTGCAAGGCTAGTTTGGTATTTTTCCAATATTGTGTTATGGCAAACTTTTACTGGCTCTTAGTTGAAGGACTTTACCTCCACATCCTCCTTGTGGTAATATTCTCTCCTAACAGACATTTCACAGTCTATCTTCTGATTGGCTGGGGTAAGTACTTAAATATATACATATTTTATTCTTATTTTTAGCTATGGATTGGTCAGGCTCAGTGTTTCCCACTGAGATAACATTATCTTCGATTAGACAGATACCGTCCATGGGCCTGATTCCACAGGCTAAGACAGCCCCTTTATTCTGTTCCACCAATGCAAATCTAGCCACCAAAAAATTGTTCTGGCATAAAAGGATGTAGAGCTGGCACAAAGGCTCCATGCCACTCCCTCACAGGCCACTGCACAGTGACTATGTAGAGGGTATTGCCAGGAAAAAGTGGATATGTCCAGAACATTTCTGTTTTCTCAAGTATTCCCACAGACCTGACTGCCCCTTGGAAACCATCAGCAGCTGGGCACAAGCTAAGGCAGCCTTGAGGTTATCCTAATCAGTGTCGGGCTGGTTGACCCCAGAATAAGGGACGTGCAAAGCCACCATTCTCCTTCCCTCTCACATGTCCAGTTCCTGTGTCTGAATGGAGCTCAGATTCAGTGATGAATCAGGCCCCACATGTTCATTGTATTCTTTAAAAGTCAGGAGTGACTTTAATGCCTTCAGTGAAATGTGGTGTTAGAAGCACTTGCTTATGCCCCATTGTACAGGAAAACACTATGGAAGCTATCCTTCACATTGCTGCCAATTCACCTTAGATGCTTGCCAGAGAAATGGCTCTGTCTTTGCTGGGAATCTCTTGAACTGCAAAGAATGCCAAACACTGTGATGATGTGATGGGCATGGGTACGATATAAGATCAGGCCACTAAATTCATTTTCAATTGTAAAATGGGATTTGAATTCAACTTCCGACAGTGAAAGTTGGACCCAGTAACTCTTTGTGCCAGCCAGTCCCTTATTCTTCATCTTTAATATACTTTCCAACATACTGTAAATATTTTTGTTTCATTTTTACATACTGATTCCTTTCATACCCGAGAGCCAAAGGAAGGTTTTATAGATGTGAAGCCCTTAGAAACTGATCATAAAAGTATACTTGGGTGTAACTGGGAAATGGGAGTGAACCAGTCTGTGTGAATGCTTTTTTGTAAAATGATTTGCACATTACATTTCATTCCTAATATCCATCTTCATTTAGTCCAGGGATGCATAGCATTTGTATCCCTAAGGGTCACACTCAGGAGCCTGAAGGTGTGCATCCTTTGTATGTTCTGTAAGAAATAAATGCACTCACCTGTAATAATTGCTTGTGCTTGTCTTCATTGGGAGATGGATAGAAATTGTTTGCAACCTGCCGCTGGTCCCCACCCTGCAGCTACAGCTACACTTTATTATTCCATGTGCTGCATTTGCTTCATGCCAGAGCTTGCGTATTCTAGTAGTGGATTGTTACAAGAGGGGTAACAATCCATAGATTGTTCATAGATTTTTACAATCATTCACTATAACAAACTATAATTTCTTAGGAATTCCTACAGTATTCATCATCTTGTGGACAGTGACAAGGATCTTTTTAGAGGACACAGGGTAAGTAGCTAGGAGGACCTGGTGCTGGCCGCTTCCCGGGGGTGGCAATCCCATGGACCGGATCCAAAGCCCTGAGGGGCCGGATCTGGCCCGCATGCCATAGTTTGCCCACCCCTGGTCTATCAGCTCATCCACTTTGCTAACTGTAATATCTGAATAAAACTGTGGCATGATTTTAATATGCATCTCCATTTATAATGGTGTGCCTCCCTAAGTTTCTATGTAAGGGAGTCAGAATTTAGACTAGCATCCCTGGTAATTGTGGGTGCAGAGCACCTCACAGGATTAGGCTCTAGATGACTTAGAAACTCTTGTAAGTGGCATCTGCAATAGCTGGTACAGATGATGGATTATTCCTAATTTCTCAGGGAACCTATTTGCAATACCTCTAAAAAAATAAACTCAAAATGATGCTGTTCTTGAATTGGTACCTTGCTATGGTCATCACAGCTGGAAGCTTACAAACTATTAAATGTTTCTGCTATTTAAGGTTTATCACTTGTAGCTTCTATTCTCTCAGAAGTTTTAAGCTCTGCTTCTTCAGAAGTGCTCAGTACATACTGAAGTCAACAGGGGCTGTGCGCACTGAGAATGACTGACTGTAAAGTTAGATGGTCATTGAAGGGTAAAATGGCTTGGGGTGGAAAACTGAACAAATTATTTAAAGGGAAAAATGAGAGTCCAGTTTTTCAGATGAAGGCTTATTCTTAATATTTCCCACACCAGTTCCACTCATCTGTAACCCAAATAGTCCAGCAGTAAATTATATCCTTTTAATTGTATCTGTCAGTTATGTCAGATCATTCTGCTGCCCCAGATACTAAACTAAACTCTTATTGGAAAAGTGTCATGACATAAAGAGTGAAACTAAACTTGAGAGTCCCCCACAGTATTTGCCTGGGTTTCTTCTAACACTGCTCTGTTACATCTCTGTTTTAATTGATTTGAATGTGCACATTAAAACCCAGTGAAAATAAAAATAAAAGCAGGAGAATATCAAATTATGTTGCTTAGAATTCACAAGAGCAGACTATTTTTGTTTTGACTTGTAAATCCAAAACACTTGTCTTCACATACCTCACGTGCCAAATAAAATTAGTATTAACATAATTTTCCCTTTTACTCTTTTTATAGTTGCTGGGATACGAATGAACACAGTGGTCCTTGGTGGGTTATACGATTACCAATTTTAGTTTCTATTATAGTAAGTAAACTACATTTTGCAATATGAATTATATATAAGTTTGCAGCCTTGTGCAGTGAATAGGCAAAAACTCCATTGTAATGAAATAAATTACTTTGTAGGGGAGATTTTAAACACATGCCCAGGTTATTTAAACTCATTGCCTTTAAAATTCAGCTGCCTCCTATTAAATGACTGGTTGGGTTTGTTTGTTTGTTTGTTTGTTTGTTTGTTTGTTTGTTTGTTTGAAACTCTTGCGAGTTCAAGAACCTTGGGGGAAGAAAACATCAAGTTAAACTTTTCATGTGGATTATAGATTTACTTTTGTTTATAAATATTATTACAGTGGAAAAGACTGACAGCTGTGTATATCTTTTCTTAACTAGTAGCCTAGAATTACATACATTAGACATTTACACAGAAGGACATTTTTAGCATGCTGCACAGGGATTGTGCTGCATAGAGTTCATTAATGTTAACTGAACATGTGCAGTTAAATTCTTGTTCATTGTGCTGAAGATGTACTCATTAGTGTGCATAACAATAGCTTTACCTCCAGTGCAAAATACAAACACAAATGCAATCATGCATTTTTTACAAATTAGCTGTAGCCTTCAGCATCTCATTTGGTAATATTTTGCGGCTTCTGAATTACAGTGTTCATTAAGGGCCTAATTTAGCAAAGCACTTAAGAATGAGCTTAACTTAAAGTGCATGCCTAAGTGAGGTGCTGAATCGGGGCCTAAATAGACAGTCTACTCACTGAATGATTTATTTCGGAGTGGTAGCCCTCTTAGTCTGTATCAGAAAAAAGAACGAGGAGTACTTGTGGCACCTTAGAGACTAACACATTTATTTGGGCTTAAGCTTTTGTGGGCTAAAACCAACTTCAACAGATGCATGGAGTAGAAAATACAGTAGGAGGAGATATATATGTATATATACAGAGAACATGAAAAAATGGGCGTTGCCATACCAACTCTAACAAGACTAATCAATTAAGGTGGGCTATTATTAATCACACCAGCCACACCATCAGGGGCTCGTTCACCTGCACATCTACCAATGTGATATGTGCCAGCAATGCCCCTCTGCCATGTACATTGGCCAAACTGAACAGTCTCTGTGCAAAAGAATAAATGGACACAAATCAGACGTCAAGAATTATAACATTCAAAAACCAGTCAGAGAACACTTCAACCTCCCTGGACACTCAATTACAGACCTAAAAGGGGCAATTCTTCAACAAAAAAACTTCAAAAACAGACTCCAACTAGAAACTGCAGAACTGGAATTAATTTGCAAACTGGACACCATTAAATTAGGCTTGAATAAAAACTGGGAGTGGATGGGTCATTACACAAACTAAACGCTATTTCCCCATGCTAATTTTTTCCCTTCTGTTACTCAGACCTTCTTGTCAACTGTTTGAAATGGGCCATCCTGATTATCACTACAGAAGGTTTTTTTCTTCTGCTGATAATAGCCCGCCTTAATTGATTAGTCTTGTTAGAGTTGATATGGCAACCCCCATTTTCTCATGGTCTCTGTATATATATATCTTCCTCCTGTATTTTCCATTGCATGCATCTGATGAAGTGGGTTTTATCCCACGAAGCTTATGTCCAGATAAATTTACTAGTCTCTAAGGTGCCACAAGTATTCCTCATTCTTTTTGAATGATCTATGTGTTAATCCAAAGGACCTTATTCCTCCTTCATAAGAGTGAGTTCTGCATTGTTTAAACAAGACAGGGCAAAAGGTGGTTCCTGGGTGAATTTACATGAAATGAAGATTCACCAACATGAATGTTTTTCTACATAATGGGTGGACACTCAGCAGATGTACAGCATGAAGGGAAGCAAAAGTCCAAAAGGAGTTGGAGAAGTAAGGAGATCACGCTGAATGATAAAAACAAAATAAATCATACAAAATATTTCAAAAGTGCAAAATTAAAGCTCCTACTGAGCACTTTTGATTTAAACAACTACTCTGTATGCAGCTAGGGTTGCCAGCTTTCTAATCGCACAAAACCAAACACCCCGACCCTTCTCCGAGGCCCCACCCCCACTCATTCCATCCCCCCTCCCTCTGTGGTTCGGTGTCCCAGAAAATAACGCTTCAAGCTGACCCTTGAAAAGTCCTAGAACTTGCAATATCTGAAGACAGCAGTTAGAGCTGTCTAACTCTAGTTAGACAGTTATGTTAGACAGTGCATATTGACAGACTTGTTGGTGCTCTAGGATTCCTGCAAAGGCTGGGAAGCCTGTTTGGTGGAGGAGAGGATGCTTAATGAAACTCTTATGAGTCTTAAACTGACCAAATCTTAATTTGATTCTAGAGTTACACTGAGGTACAACCAGCCCTCTGTTTTTTAAATCGGTAATTGAATTGATATAGTAATAAAGTATGGAAATGTCCATGTACATGGACTGTGTTGGCTCAGGTTGTGTACACATTTGGGATTGGCTGTCTTTTTCCAGATCGGTTTTCTCTCCTGAGCAACATGCTTTAAGGGGTGAGAACAACAAAACAGAGGCTTGTGCTTCTGCTACTTAAGGTGTAAATAAAATCACACTCCTGTCGGATTCAGATGTTAATTCCAGATGTTAATTCTGTATCTGTGGTGTTAATTTGTGAAAGAGCAGTTCACAGTGGATTTGGGCCATTTGCAGAGAGCTGAACTGCACTGCCAAAAGAAGTAGGAATGGACATTCAATCCCCCAGTGCAACAGATGAGTTAAGGTGCAATAGTTACTTTGGTCTAGATTGTCTTTCCACCTAATGTTTGATAAGAGGCAGAGCCTACCTGTGCCAGCACAGGAATAGCCCTGGAAAGCTGTCAGAGTTACAAATCGTGTCATGTTTCCCCCACTTCTCAAAGGGGAAAGTAAATTGTTGTACGCATGATGCAACTTGTTCAGCTCTGTGGGGGAAGATCAAGGTTCCATCTACTCTCCACCGCACCCACCTGTCATTAAGGGAATAGCAGCTTTATGCAGCCTTCTCTAATCCCTGTGCCTGGATTCTTAATCCAGGTAAGCGCTATGTGATTTTATGCACCCTGTGCAGATATATAGGAGTAGGTTAAAATCTAGCCATTTATTATTAGTTAGATAACTCTACAAGTGTACACATGCCCTAATTTTCACACCCAGGTGCCTGACATTAAGCACCCAGAAGAACTGGCCGGAGTATCCACAATTCCCACTGAAATCTAAAGGTGATGCCTGTGTTAAAGTGAGGCCACTTTTCTTTAGATGCCTAAATGTAACTTCTGGCAAACAAGTTTGAAGTTTGAAACTTGTTTGCCAGAAGTTAAGTAGCAGAAGCACTAGGCTCTGTTTTGTTGTTCTCAGCCCTTAAAGCAAGCTGCTCATGGAGCTTTGCAAAACACACTGTATAAGAAAACAAAGTCCTGCTGCCCCAAAGAGTGTGCAGCCTGCCGCAAATAAATGGGATACATGAGACAACCATTAGAAGCAAGACATTATGGACAAGTTGTCAGTAAGGAGATTAAGGTAGGAAAGCTGTGAAAGAAGTTGTTTTTGAGGAAGGCTTTCATGAAGCAAAAGGAAGGTAACTGGAATATTTGAAAAGGGAGGCTGTTCTGTACTCACCAGATGGACTAGCGTGAAAGTAGGTCCAAAGTGGAGTGTGAGAGATGGAGCAAGAAGGGGTATTTGATGAAGTGGGAGCAGAGATAGAGACAAAATGAGAGTTGTGTGGCATTCTGAATATGAGGATGAGAGTATACATGTATTTCGGAAGGAAAAGCAAAGCAAGTGAAGGGACTCGAGCAGGATTTACCTCTAATAGGTATAACAAACCAACCTTCAGTCAGTATTCCCCTTGTTGGCATTAGTTTCAATGTTACTTCCAATTATTTTAGCTGGTTTAGGGGATTGCATTTAATCAGCTGTTGATTGCTCTAAAACAGCATTCTCAAAGTGAGTTCTTCAGGGTCAGTCCTCACAGTCAATTCAGCATGTCAGAGGCCTTCCCCTGGTCTTTCCTCTGAACATTTTTGGCCTGAGAAATGTTCCTTGGCAGCCTTCCATGCGTCATGCTGTGCACATTTCAGAGCCTCTCTGATTTCTTTAATTGGAGATGTATTATGCCAAACAGTTCATTTGGAGTACCACCCATGTTTTCAATTTGGCAAATGCCGCCACGGCAATCCTCTTCCTTCCCCTCTCCCATACAGACTGCTCTCATTTGTGTGTCTTTTCAGGTGGACACAAATCTGAATTAATAGGCTTTCAGAAACCAGAAGCAGTCATGTATCATATCAACATAAGAGAGTTGTGTCCCTCTTGTTGTGACATTAAAACTTCTGTAAAGGACTAAATAACAAGAAGGAAGTAATAAAAAGAACATTTTAAGTGATACATGTACTCGCAGTGTAATCGGTTCAAAAGTTACTGTCAGTTTAAGGCAGCCAAAATGATAAGATCACTGGTCTCATGTCATTCCACTACCTTCCTAACTTTCTACTTTGTCATTTACCTTCACTGCTGTACCCCATCCCCGACACTTTCCTGCATTTATATTATTGGCTTAATTTGCTGTCCTTAGCAGTTCGTTCAACATTGTGTATCATCTGCTTTCTGTATAAAGAAATTCCACCCCAAAGAATATTATAGAACTAAATCTACAATACTGAAGACAAAATCTCCTAAAGTGTGAACGTACTCTGTCATTTTCTTCTAATTTTGTTATCTAAACATACTGAAATTATATGAGACTTTAAACTAAATATATATTTTTAAGATTAACTTGGATACATTGGGGTCTTTAACAACTGTCCTAAATGATCATTTGAATTATAATCTCTTAAATATAAAAAATAAGATATTGGTCCCTGGCTCAATACCAGAACATTTTTTCTTGTGTTTGATGCTTCTGCATCCCTGATCTGAGTTAGCTCACTTTACTGCTGTTACGCACGATGAAGAAAGTTATATGGATGTAGGATGTTATACCACACCTAACATTTAGAAATCACTGTTCATGTTCAAAGTATTTTATAGACCATGTTACACAATCCAGCACCATCTTACGTGCCTGGCACGAAGGCATCTGTTCTATAGATTGGGAACTGAGGCAGAAAGGTTGGGGACTTGCCAAAGACCAAAGAAGACATTATGGGAGATGGGATTCAGATGCAGCAATTTCTGATTTCCAGTCCTGAGTTCAATCCCACCCCTGAGTCAGATTACACTTCCTTTTATCCAGTTACTTCAGTTCCCCATCTGTAAAATATGGACAATAGCACTTCCCTACGTCACAGGGGAGTTGTGAGGATAAATACATTAAAGATTATGAGGTGCACACTTACTATGGAAATGGAGGGGCCATATCAATACCTTAGATAGATATGCAAAGAAGGCCATTTTCATCGTTGATTTATGAATACATGTCACCTCTACAACAGCTTCCCATCCACAACTCCAGACAAGGGATTTAAGGGCCAAGAGTGGGGAAGAGTTATAAACAGGATGTGCATTATCCCTTGGCCACCAGTGGTAAATCCACCAAAGGGTTTAAGGTAACGTTAGGCTGTACTGAGACTTGACCAAAGCCCCATCATGCTTGAGAACATTCCCTTTAATGGGGTTGCTGGTGGAAAGGGATTTTGTCAGCTTTTAAGTATCTCAGAGGATGATTCCATAGTGGCATTTACAGTCATGCAGAGGTGTGTTGGATGTGACAAACCGTCAGTGAGGCAGGGAAGCAGCAGTAGATCTGAGGGAGTGCAATTTAACATGTTCTGGCAGCAAGCACTCCAGGCTCACTAATGAACTGACTAATCTGGCTTGTTTACCTCTTACCAGCACACTGCATACTAAAGTGAGGAGCTTGAAGTCACTTAAATATATATATATATATGTATAAATATATATTTTCTTTTGCAGGTGAATTTTATACTTTTCATTAGTATTATAAGAATTTTACTGCAAAAGTTAAGATCGCCAGATGTCGGAGGCAATGATCAGTCACAATACAAGTGAGTAATGTGTTCTAGAAAATTCATAGAGTATATCAAAGTAATCTATTTAAAGATTTCCTCTGCTGGAGCAGACTGCCAGCAACCATCCAGTGTTGTGATGCTGTGATAACTATTTGATACAGTGGTACCCATTTTCAAATGGATGGATAGCTGGGGCTAGAACCCTGATTCAGCAAAGCTTGTAAACACATTGAAATCAACAATGTTATGACACTTAAGCATATGCTGAAAGTTAAGCATGTGTTTAAGTGTTTTGCTGAACAGAGGTCTTTAACAAGGTTAGTATTGATTATTGTTACTTCTACTATTAATTATAATTTATTAGTGACTATAGGCCCCAGTACAGAATCAGGGCCTCATTGTGCTAAGCTCTATACACATAATAAAAAGACGGACCCTGCCCAAAAAAGCCCAGATCCCAATGTAGATGCGATATTGGCACTTGAGAGCAAAAAATGGCATGTTGATGTCTAAGTCTAATTTGAGCACTGAAAACCCCAAGCCATCTAGTCACACACAGTAGGCCTTTTAATAGGGTTCCTTGTTAATTACCTGTTCACTTCACCAAAACAAGCTGTTGCCGTACATATTTAAAAAGCGATAGAAACTTTTTGACAATACCAAAATGAAAAATACCCAATAAAACCCTGGGTATTTTTTCTGTAACCAGTGTGACATGTTTGGCACCTTACTGTTGCATCACGATTCTTTTAAAAATATGGAAATTCTCCTGTAGTTTCTACAAGTCACTTAAGAATCCAGCCATAGTCTACAAAAACTTTCCACAAACTTCCTAGGATCATCCCTTAAGTCACATCAGGGGACAGATGTGGACTTTTCACCTGATGTTGTTTGAATTGGCTTTAGTTTATGGGCACTATATACCAGCCTGTCCATTTAAGCCTCAAACTTGGTTTTACTTGCTCTGTACTGATTTCAATAGGATTTGACAGGTCCTACAAAAAACAATGTAGTGAATATGATGTTGTAATGTCTAGGTATTCTGTCTGGGGTACTAGGCTTGAAGTGTAGTGCTTATTTTTACACCCCAACCAGAGGGCAGCCATACTATTCAGCAGGGCACAAGGCAGAGGAGGGGCTTCCAGGTGGGTTAAAATCTTCAGGACAGCAGTGTAAACAAGCTACCACATCTGCACTAGGTGTTCCATTGAAGTGACCTGCTTTTCCTCCCTGCTCCCTTGTAGCCCCTAATGTAGCTGGCTTCGGAGCAGCTCACTTATAGATCTACATATGCGATGATACCTTGCTTCCCTGTTTTGGTAATTGAGAGGTTAGGGATTGTGATGTCTCAAGACAAAGAAACCCACCAGTAAAGACTGCAGCAGGTTGGGCTGGGATACTTGAGCTCTCTGTGAAGGTGGCATGTTTGTTGTCTCAACCAGTGGACCACGCTGTATGGCCCGCTCAATCTATGGACCACACTACTTGAGATTTTGGGGTCTCCTATTTATTATTCAGAAAACTGACCAGACGATGGGCAGGACATCTGTGCAAGAGCTATTCTTTTTTTCCTCCCATCTTCATTTTTATACTTCTGTTCAGTCCTGTGTGTTCTGTTTTTCTCCAAGCGTCCTCCATAGGGCATCTTAGTGTCTTACAGTGTAGGCTGCTTACTAGCAGCAGACCTGTTTTTCACTGTTCATCAGTGTGAACTCAACTCTTGAGAGTCTGATTGCCTGGTTTTTAATTTTGGTTTGGATGGTGTTTTGGTGTTCAGTAGACATCCATGAGAATGGTAGATCAAGCTCACTGAGATGCAGAGCAATTTAAAGGTCCAGAAGCCTCATTTATGTACATGCAAATGCAATTTCTAAAATGCAGAGGGGCATGAGACTATTTTTGTATGGCTGTTTCCTCCATTAAAATGTCAGTGTCATATAGAGTTAGCTCCACAGTCAGTTGAAAATTATTAAAGCAAAAATGCTAATGTGAAAGTTGAGAAACAATGAAAGTGGAGCATGAGATCACAAGGTACAAAGTTTGTGTAAATGGTCTGGAATTTGATAACTTGTGTGGTTTGCAAAAGTCAGGATTATCATGGAGGCTTTGACCTTAAATGTACTGAAATTTTTGGTGTGGATATGGGGAGGTTTTCTTTGTTAAATTAGGACTTGATTGCGCAACCCTCTTTCATACTGGTAAGCACTTACTAATATCCTTAGCGCCACTGATTTCAGTGTGGCTGCTCACCAACATGAGTGAGTGTTTCACAGTCGGGCCGTTAGTTCTGGAGACATATGACAAGATAAAGTGGTTGCATGGCATATCATTATGCGTTCTGGAAAGAGTCACACCAGGGTCTGCCGGGAAAAGTAGATATTGTGTTACATTTTCAAAAGTGCCTAAGTGACACTGAAAGTCAGTGAGACTTGGGCTCCTAAGGACCAGATCCTCAAAGGTATTCAGGCTTCTAACTTCCACTGAAATTGGGGCTTCAGCTTTTACATCATTTAGGCACTTTTGGAAAAGTTAATCTTCCTCTGCAACATCAGTAGCATGCCTCCATCCATGGGATGAAATTCATCCCACTGTAGAAGGCCCTGCCAGGTCCTACGCTACTCATAATCCCTTAATGTAGGTCTTAAGTAGGGTGTAGGATCATGTGTATGCTTTCTGCCCTGAGGTTAATTTGATACCCACAAATAGAAGTCAAAGATAAATTTTCATAGCACTCATATTATTTTAGGGAAGGAAGTCGTCACGATTACGGGAGACGGGTTAATATAAGTTATATGGCCATAGATAATGAAAAATATTGCTAATATTTATTAGAAATTTTAATCTAAATTCAGATATAATTGTAAAAATTGGGACCACTGATTCTTAATTGACTACAAGGAAACATGAAATTTAAAAAGTCATACAAGAGAACAGGTTAGACGTGTTTTACCCAGGCCGTCATTTTATATATATATGGATGTAAATGAAATTTGACTTCTATCCATTTGTCGAGATTCTTATTTCTTTTCTAACTCCCCCACAAGCCACATAGGGGCAGATGTTGATTCACTAATTTGTTCTGTTTTGATTAATTATTTTGGTTTTATTATTCTTTATTTTTTACCCTTCCCACTTTCCACTTCACTCCTCTTCTCTGTTTTTCCTCTTCCCCACCTACTGCCTTTCCCTCTTCTCTCTTTCATCTGCTTTCCTGCTGGTTTGGTTTTGGTGGTCAGAAAGCTATGCTGAAGACATGAGTTTTTCACTTTGCTCTCGAAGCAGTGAGATTTGTGGTCATTCTCCTCTCCTCCAGTAGAGAATTTCAAAGGTTAGGATATTTTGCTGAGGAAGCCCTGTCTTTCACGGTCATTGGTTTCACCTTCAGGTCCAGACATATTGTGATTCCTGAGGAACTTTGCTGTCCAGAAGGTCACTGTCACATAGATAGAGGCAACCTCTGAAATATTTTGAGCATGATCCATGGAGGACTTTGAGGACTGGCACAGACACTTTCAAATAGAAGGTTCTTTAGATGCCTAGTCTCTTAAATAGATAGTTTGGGTTTAAGATAGTTGCCTCAAGGCAGCCTATCTGTTTCATTGCTGAATCTAGTTGTGGTCAAGACAGTGATGACTCACTGGACTCTCCATGTTAACTTTTTGCATTTTATCTAAGATCAGGCATCCATAAGCATGCCTGACTGAATCCATATAACATGTAAAGTTTATGTTATTAAAATAAAATGCATGACAGCTAAAGGATAATTAGCTTCCCACCTTTTCAACGGTTTAGTGTCAGTTTGACAAAATCATGCTGCTTAACAAATTAAAGTTCTATCTCCAGATACTTATATAATTTTCTCTTGTACTTCAATAATTATTGTTACATAACTGTTGGAATTTTAATTAATGAAGGGTAAATGCTTCATGCCATCAGTATAAAATGAGGTGTTAGGACTCTGGGATCAGTATATAATTGCCCAAGAAATCCCTTGATTGAAGGACTGCTCTGGGATCACATTCTCCAGGCACTGTTTACACATTGTACATTTTAAATGTATTTTAATATTCAAATTAAAGAAAATGGAGATGTCTGGATAACTCTCCAGTATTCCCTACTGTTTGGGTCAGATCTTCAACTATGCTCTGACACTTCATACAATCTAAAAAGGGCCAGGGCAGCGTAAGTCACTCTATAAGCCTCTTGTCCAGCTGGGGGAGGATTGCCTGGATGAAGGCATTGTGGAAGGCAGCCATAAGGCTGTTGTCCAAGGACCCCCTCACAAACCTGGACACAGGGGCCACACTGTGGACAAGAGGACTTTGTCAAGGATGGGGCTACAGCACACCATGCTGTGGAGATTCTGGAGCCTGGTGCAGTCTACAGGACAGCCCAAGGAGGCTCCTGAATTTAGACAGCCCCCCAATGGCTGTCTGAGTTATGCCGGGGGCTTCTCTAGCCCCTGAAACAGCCCCAAAATCAGGAGGGTGCAAAGGTAGCTTAAAGCCACTATAGCTCTTTGAACCATAACACAGAATCTCACCCAGTGACTATAAGGCCAGTGTGGGCTTACTATAGCAAAGATGTAAGAGAAAATATAGTTTTCAGTAGGTATGAATGGCCCTTATGAGGAATATTAATTTACAGATCATACTGTCTGAGGGCTTACAGGATTGATCTAAAAAAATAAAAGTGCACTAAATATGTATGTTACTGAAACAAGACTTTACTGGGATACTCCATTAAGCTCCAATTCTTCTGCTCTGATTATTTAGGAGACTTGCAAAATCAACATTGCTGCTTATTCCGTTATTTGGAGTTCACTACATGGTGTTTGCTGTATTTCCTATACGCATTTCCAGTCACTATCAGATAATTTTTGAGTTATCTTTGGGATCTTTTCAGGTAAATTCTAAACCTTTACAAATTTTAATTCTTTTACTGATTGAGTTCAGAGCTGTGTACTAACTGATACACATTGTCTGTTTACAGGGGCTGGTTGTTGCAGTCCTGTACTGCTTTTTGAACAGTGAAGTAAGTTTCCCTTTTCTCCCCAGTGATATTGAATAATGTTTTCAATGTAGTAGCAATAAGTGTAATAGCAGCCTTAGTATTCTAGTATATAAATCATAAATCGTATCAGTGAGTTATTATTGTACAGAATATGGTGATTTCTATATGAGAGGGGATTATATTAGATATAAAAAACGCCATACGAAGGCGTAATTGTGGGGAGAAGAGAGGTTAAACTCTGTCTGGGACCTCTATCACCCTAAAACCAGGAGGTGTTATTAAATTCTATCCTTACTGTTTATTAATCTAAGAAAATCCCAAAGGTGAAGTCCTGGCCCTAGGGCAGTCAATGGGAGGTTGTTGGTTTTTTTGGGTTTCATCCCAAAACTTTCAAAGGTTAATTTTGGAAATTCTCTGGGACACACTTCTGCTTGCACAATTGGAGCCAGGTTTTCAAAAATCCTCAGCACCCAACAGCTCCCATTGTTCTTGAAGTGCACCGGTGATGGTGATGATTTACATTATTCTCAATGGGAGCTATGGGGTGCAGAGTGCTTCTGAAAATCTGACCACTTCATTCAGGTGCCTAAATAGGAGCCTGAGCTCTTTCAAAAATCTGAGAACTTGCTTAGGTCCCTAAATGGGAGCTTCTGGATGCTAAGCGCTTACTACAATTTAGTCTTTACTGTAAAACTTGGCACATCTAGACCCTCCTTCATGGTGGTGTCATCTGATTTCATATGATGACCAATAGATTCGAGGACATATCCCCTGAATAAGAAGATGCCATTTTTGCACAGTCACTTTTCAGAGTAGAACCACACTTTAAATAATATAGAGTATATCACAGAAAGAGTGTGTGCATTTGCTAGAGTGAAGGATTAGGAGCCAGATCACCTGAGTTTTCCTGGCTCTGACATTGATGTGCTGCATTATCTTGGGCTAGTCACTGAATTATTTATGCCTCGGCTTACTCATCGGTAAAAACTTATCATAAATAAATACCCACCATTTTTACAAACCCTTTTTGATTGTTCTCTTTTCATTTTTCAGCCAAGTCAATACACTTTTAAATTCTGGACATAGGAAACATATTAGTCAACTGCTCTCAGTAATAATAGAGTTCTGAGTTGTTGTTATTAATAATCATAGTTAGCCCCTGCAACCTGAGGATTTTGGAGCTAAGCTTTACATCCTAGGGAGGTAGTTGTGGTTAAAGTTGTGGAGGTAAAGAGATGTTATGTGACTTTCTTGGGATCACACAATAAGTCCATAGCAAAGCTAAACTTAGAGCCCAGGTTCTCATGCCTGTGCTTTTATCTCAGGATTGTGCTGCCTATCTGAATTTAGAAGAGTTGTGTTTACTTTTATTTTTCTTCCTACTTCTCAGGAGGCCAAAGCGTTATGGCACATTTTCAGGTCTTTGGATGGAAGACATTATATGAGTTCAAAGTATTATTAATAACTCTTCTCGGACTCTTTGACTCAATTTTGTTTTCAAGTAAAATAGAGATTATTTTAGTAGTTTGCATGTGACACTAATGAAAGCACAAATGTTTCCCATGTAAAGTGCGTTTTTAACTCACATGCATTTTTTAAATATAGGTACAAGGTGAGCTGAAAAGGAAATGGCGGAGTTTGTGTTTGAGGCAGACAGTGGGCCGCGGCTACAGACCCAATAGCTGTTCTATTTCTCGAAATGGCTCAGAAAGTGTCTCCCAGCTCCATCAGAATTCAGGGGCACAGTCTTCTATGCAGACAGAGACCACAGTGATATAAACCATGTAGCTCAAACTAAAGATTATGGGACATATCACTGTATGGAGCTCAATGTAATATTTTCTAAAATGCACCATTTATGCTTTGCTTTTCTACATATTGACGTCTGGAGAATGGCCTGGTGCAGTAAATCAGGTAACAGATGGGCTGGCGGCTTTGCAGACATTTTGGCCTAAATCCCCAAAGGTATTTAGCTGCCTAACCCCCATTGATCTGAAAGCAGTAGGAGTTAGGCGCTTAAATACCTTTCGAGATCTGAGCCTTTGTGTTTTTATTTAGTCGTATTCACATTACATTCTGATGTTCTCCTGTCATTTGTACCAGCAGTAACTATCTAAATATAATTTATTGTAATGCTCCATTTCTATTTATCTCTCTCTCTAATATGTAATGTATGCTGAACCACGCCCAGTGTATGTTGCTTTGGTCCATGTTTACGGGGGTAGGGTGGGAGGTGAGAGAGAATATCATATATACCATCTATATTTAATAGACTGTTTCTTTCACACAGATGCTAGACCCTACTATAGCAAAGAAAATTGAAATAGAGATATTTAGGGCCATATGTATGTTCCTGATCCCCATATGGAAATCCAGTTGATGACAGTGGGAATTTAGCATACAGATGAAGGGCATTATGAGTCCGTATTTTGCACAGAAGAAAATGTTAGTCCTTCTTAGCTCCTTACATAAATCCTAATTCAATTCAGAGCTACCTCACTGCAATATTTGATCCTAAGGGCTTGATCCTGCTTTCCTGCACGAGTGCCCATTTCTACATATCTTAATGCAGAATGTGAGGCTAGCCCTGCAGTCCTTACAGAAAAGTCCATTGCACAGTAGTGGTCATTAAACAGTCAGCATTTGCCAATAGTGGTATCTGAGTTTACTAGAGTTTTACCCCATACTAAAAATCAAAGATATCTGTGGTAACTCTGTGGTAACATTTGGCAAATGTTAATGTTTTTAATGACTTCTCCTCCATCTGATTTTTTTCTACCTACCTGACAGTACATGTATGTGTTTCAGAAAGGTGGGACTGAACCTTAATACCCTAGCCATCAAGTTCTATGAGTTCTCAGAAATGGTATCCTCTTTGCTTTGGTTCAAAAGAAAAAAATATTTTGGTTACATTTATGATAGATATCCATCATATAAAATAAACAGACAGAAAGGAACCCACACTGATGTTAGAAAAGAGTTAGGAATACATAGAATACAAACTAGGCGCCTCAATCTCTTACTATCTAACTTTCTAAAGGGGTATTTTCCTAATAGAACAACCTAGTGAAAACTAAACAGGAATGGACATCCCACTCACCCACTGAAAACATGTTTTTATACATAATGATTTTATTAAAATATATCTTTAGAACTTCACCTTTGGCAGCTAAAATTAAGTATATCAAATTATAAATATTACTGGAGTTTAATGAACTATGTAAATACTTTCAACAAAATGCCGTTTTATATCTGTGAGGTGATTGAAAATGCAATCCTGACCAGCAAGGCCAGAAAAAAAAAAGACACAATCCCATTCAAATGACCATAAAAGGCATAAATTGAAAGGATTTTTTTGGTAACCTCAAGCCCCTTATGTAGCCCAGTGAAATAAAAGACACAGCGCTGACAAGTGCTTATAAATACACACTGGAGTCTTACAAGACATAAGCACTGTTATGTTTACCTCTCATGTCACAACTGACCATGTCCTCTCTAAATAACAAGTGTGAATACTGTGCATTTGCATGAGTACTTTTGCCTCATAAACTGAAGTGTTACCACAATATTTCAAACAGCAAATTGTACATTACATGACAGTTGCCATGATTTAAATAATAATCACTTAATTCATATCTTCTAATTAGTATTACCAATAAACACCCTGTATTGTAGTTCATTTTAAGTAACAATAAGTGATAGAAATAAGATTGTTTTGTGTAACAATCTATTTATTGCCATATTCACAAACAATAGCCTTGGTTCAAAAGGTAAATGGTCACCGTTGCACAACTGAGGCCTTTCCTGTTCTACAAAAATAATCTGACAATCAAGGGACTTTCATACCAGCTTTTTATACCTTAAGCCACTCAGAATATTTTGTAGAGACAGTCACTTTTCAAGTTAACTTAAAAAGTTAAAAAGATTTGACTGTTCAGTGATACTTGTGTGTTAACATTGGTCAAAATATTCAGATATTTGGAACAAACTGATAAACTAAACAGTAATAAGTCACCAGGACCAGATGGTATTCAGCCAAGAGTTCTTAAGGAACTCAAATGTGAAATTGTAGGACTACTAACTGTAGTCTGTAACCTATCATTTAAATCAGCTTCTGTACCAAATGACTGGAGGGTAGCTAATGTGATGCCAGTTTTTAAAAAGAGCTCCAGAGGTGACCCTGGCAATTACAGGCCGGTAAGCCTGACTTCAGTACCAAGCAAAGTGGTTGAAACTATAATAAAGAACAGAATTTTCAGACACATAGATGAACATAATTTGTTGGGGAATAGTCAACATGGTTTTTGTAAAGAGAAATCATGCCTCACCAATCTACTAGAATTCATTGAGGGCGTCAACAAGCATGTGGGCAAGGGGGATCCAGTGGATATAGTGTATTTAGATTTTCAGAAAGCCTTTGACAAGGTCCTTCACCAGGGGCTCTTAAGCAAAGTAAGCAGTCATGGGATAAGAGGGAAGGTCCTCTCATGGATTGGTAACTGGTTAAAAGATAGGAAACAAAGGGTAGGAACAAATGGTCAGTTTTCAGAATGGAGAGAGGTAAATAGTGGTGTCTCCCAAGGGTCTGTAGTGGGACCAGTCCTATTCAACATATTCATAAATGATCTGGAAAAAGGGGTAAACAGTGAGGTGGCAAAATTTGCTGATGATACAAAACTACACAAGATCGTTAAGTCCCAGGCAGACTGCGAAGAGCTACAAAAGGATCTCTCAAAACTGGGTGACTGGGCAACAAAATGGCAGATGAAATTCAATGTTGATAAATTCAAGGTAATGCATATTGGAAAACATAATCCCAACTATACATATAAAATGATGGGGTTTCAATTAGCTGTTACCACTCAAGAAAGAGATCTTGGAGTCATTAGCAGAACCTGAAACCTGATGATTTTGCATGGTTTTCAGTTTCATTACATCTCGTACACTGGGACAGGTTGTGGCTGATCCTGTGTCTAAGGCATGGGGAGATGGCCAGATTGTGTTTCTCTTACTCATTCTGAATTACACTGTGCACCACAAATAGCCCCTCTGACATCAGTGCATTGTCGTCTTCATCTGGACAGAGTGGAGATTGGGGAGTGGGGCACAGATAACTGTTTGTGGCTCCCTGATCTGGAGCTACCCTATGTTAGCACAAGTTGGAGCTGCTCTGGAACAGCTCGAACGTATGCCACTGCTGTAAGGCTCCACAAAGACCTTACTCCAGTAGCAGATAGGGAGTATGCCTGCTCAACTCTATTGCACCCCTTCTCCCCACCCCAGAGCACTGCAGGCATGCCCTCTCCCTCCTCTGACGCTGGAGATGGGAAGGCATTTGGCACAAACGTGAGGTACAAAGTGGCCTTAGCAGACCAGAGAAAGGCTCTTCTCAATGTGAGAGTACCACAATCTGGCCCTTCACAACTTTTGGGGGCGAGAGAGGGAAGAGATATGTAAACTGCCATCTCCCAAGCTCATCTCCCCACCTCATCCAAATTACATCCAAGGAAAGTGACAATGTGTAAATGACAAAAGCCAAAATTCTCCTTCTCCACTTTACGTGCAAAATTTTTCACACATCCCTAATGACAATCAAACATTAAACTCTTCTGGCAACATCAGGTAGAACTGACAAGTAATCTGCAGAAAGAATTACTCTGTATTTATAGGTTGTCATTCCATAGTCTTAGACTACAACCCTGTGTCTGCAGTGATACAGCAAGCTGTGTCATTTACCAACAAAAGACTACTTTTAAATTACCAACTGTGCCTCTATACACCTTGATAATCTCTGAGCAGTGAATACTGCACTGCCATTACCAAACTGGATGATTTAGTACACTGTGCTATTTTTGTGATTTAAATAAAACATCAAGATAAACACCTTTTCTGACAAGTATGTTATGAGGACTACATCACCATAACATTAAACACAGAGAATTCCAGAGTCTGCTTTAATAATCCAGTATAAAAATGTATTTTGCCATTGATACATCTTGTAATAAAGTGTAATTAAACAAAATCCAAGTACATCTACTTTGTAAACTACTTTATACCAGGCTGCTATGTATAAAACTGCTTTATTTCCATATGTACTATAATAAGATTATTTACATCCTGCAACTTTTCCCTAGTGCATTCGCATAAGAAACTGTTTAACACGTTCTCTTTGGTCCTCTGTATTGGTAGTGGTTTTTATGTGTCAAGTACAGTAAACTTTAAACCTGATGTAAATGAATGGTATTTTTTACAAAATGTACAGATTATGATGATGTATAGATAAATGTGTGTAAATAGATTTGCTTTTCATACTTGTAATACAGCATCTGTAGTCTCTGTTATCCTGCTGATTTATAATGTCATAATGCTAACAGATTTCTCTGTGGTTTGCTCCATGCAATGGCTGTGAAAAAGCAGATATTCACATGCTTTATTCTAACAACAGTTTACTCAGTTCTGTAGCAAACTTTAGCCATAATAGACTGAAAATAGTGTCAGAAAATAGTATTTGTGGATGGTTTGGTTCAACACCTGCACTGCTTAAACCTCCCAACTGGTGACGTGATCCATATTCTCATTGATATGTCAGGCCAGAGATAGTCCAAGAGATGTGTCTGAAGTTAATGCTCTGGTTTTTAGTAAACAACTTTAATCCTTGCATGTAAAAAAGTAACTCACCTACCTGAGATTTTCCTTTTGAGAAGTAGGTAATCTTTATTCAACTCTAGTGAATTTGTGTTGGTATAAAAATATTCTCTCGGTTGCCTGCAGACACATGCGTGCACACATATATACACAATTGATCCAAAAGATTCAGTATTTTCTCTATGTCAGGGCTTGCATTTTGATCTCTGTTTCTCAGTCTTTGCCTCTCTTGCTTAATACATTTGTCCAGATATTCCCAGTGTCTGTGATATAGCAGAGCTACCACAGATGAAAGCTATGACCTAATTTAAAGGAGTGGGCTCTCTACAGTCTAATCAAAGATTTTGCATATCTCCTGAGGATAAGAGAGCCAGATAGCTCTACTTGTGTCTTGACTAACTTGACAAGGTCCTTGTGTCTAAGAGCCAGTTTACCAAAACAAAGGAGCATAGCTTTTTTTTAAATTTCATCCACCCTTGAGTTTAAGTTGCAGGCATTCTTTCCATTCATAATGTAATGCTTTTATATGCTAATACAGGGCCTGATTCTGCCCGTGTTATTTCACTGTGAGCACTAGCTATCGTTCATTCATTCTTATTTCTGTGGTCCCCATTACCATAGAATCTGTGTACCTCACAGTCTGGACTGTAGAGCACCGCTGCAAGATATGGAAATAATATCCTCATTTTACAAAGTGGGATGTGAGGGACACAGGAGACACAATGACTCATCCAGCATCTCTCAGAAAGTTTGTGGGGGAACGTGAAATTGAACCTCAGGTTTCCCAAGTCCTAAGCTGGTGCCCTAACCTTCTGCAACTGTTCCTTTGGAAGTCAATGGCCTGTATCATCCCCACTAGATCTGTTCACAGACAGGACCTTCCATATGTGGATGTCCAGTGGAAGCTGGGAGGCAGGCCCCTCTGTTGCACACTCTATCTTCCACAGAGGGCCCACCATGCATCCACATTGGACACATTTCTGATGTGGTATGATGAGGTTGCTTGAGATGTGAGGGGGGCATTGCTCAACAGCCCTAGGGCTCACTTCTGGTTTATGGCTTTGGTTCCTAAAAACTCATGCTTCAGGGCTTCAGCTGGCCACCTGCAGGGAGCAGAAAGAGATTCCCTCCACCCCTAATATATTCTGGAGTTTGAGAGGTCTTTTTCTCTCCTTTTGAAGCATTAGGGATGCCATGGCTGGAGACGTGGGCCAGGACTCTGAGGTGGCACCGAGCATTCTCTCTCTCTCAGGTGCTTGGCTGGTGGTTCTTACTCACATGCTCAGGGTCTAACTAATCGCCATATGTGGGAGTCAGGAAGCAATTTTCCCCCAGTTCAGACTGGCAGTGACCTTGGAGTTTTTCACCTTCCCCTACATCATGTGGGTGTGGTCACTTGCCAGGATTATCTGGGTATATTTCATGTAATCATTTTCTTGTAATTGCGGGAGCCTCAGGCACTGGTGCACCTCAGTCCTTCCTTTTCTCTGCTCTAGTCTAATTTCCTGTGGGCTGTGGTCTAATTTTGGTGGTTGGGTTTAAGGTGCAGGTGTTTGTGGCCTGTGATATCCAGGATGTCAGACTAGATGGTGGACCCGTCTAGCCTTACATTTTGTGGTTTGTGTGGCCCCGGGCTGAATTATAGTTAAATCAATGTTGCCCATTGTTAGGTGACATACAAGAATTATCTTGGGGCAGGGACTGACCAGTTTTGTGGCCAGCATTAAGGTGCCTGTGTCCCATGAAGCTTCATTCCCTATGGCACTCCCACTGCGAGGGAGCCACACTCCCAGCACTTATTACTCTTGGCCCTTCTCTTCTTTCAGTCACGGATACAGCTCCCATTTCACCTCCCAGCAACACTTGGGTGCTTGTCCCCTACTCCAGATTCTCAACATTTCACTTGCTGAAGCCACTCGTCTCTTCATCCCCTGCACCTTGTCTATTTCTCCATTCATGACTCGTTACTCATGTAATGACATTCGATCGTATTAGGTCCATTTCAGAAGTGAGGTGTAAAGTGATATGTTATATGATGATAATATGACCCCTTAGAGTGTAAGCTGTATCTCTCTTTTTATACCCTTATGATAGTTGCTATTTCTACTACTCCCCCCCCCCCGCCTCCTCTGGCTATTTAGCATGTGAGTTACACCACCATAGTCTCTTTTAAATTTAACTAGATTTACATGCACTTTGTGGTGTGTGGCCTACATCTTCCTCCTGAATTTGGTCCAATATGCCTATGTGAGTACAGCTGGAGCCTGCCCGGAGCCTGCACCCTTACCCCTTCTTGCACCCCAACCCTGATCCCCCTCCCACCTTCCAAACCCCTCCATCCCAGCCTGAATCACCCTCCTGCACCCCCAACTCCTCATCCCCAGCCCCACCCCGGAGCCCTCACTCCCCCCACCCCAACCCCCTGCCCCAGCCCAAAGGCCCCTCCCACACCCTGAACTCCTTATTTCTGGCCCCACCGCAGAGCCTGCACCCCCAGCTGGAGCCCTCACCCCCTCCCAGACCCCAACCCCCAATTTTGTGAGCATTCATGGACCACCATACAATTTCCATACCCAGATGTGGCCCTCAGACCAAAAAGTTTGCCCACCCCAGACTAAAAGAAGTAGACTTAGTGGGAGAAAATATTCAAAGGGTGTAAATATCAAGAATGAAGAGGCAGGTGTTTAGGGTTCAACACCTGTAACGAGGCATAAGCGGGGGATCACAGTCACATGAGCTAGATAACTAAATAAGTCTTTCATGACAATCCTTATGAGGATGTGTATTGTATTTATTTTCAATATTTTACATTAGCCACCGTCTCCACTGAAATGCCTTGCACTGCTTCAGAATACTGACAAAAATAAAGTAATTGCCCCCAAACTTTGTTAAAGGTTTTGCCCAGTGATATCTCATGCCCTTCCAGAATGTGGACAGCAGCTACACTTAAACCTCTGAGAACCAGGAAACACAACGTTATGGCACACTTCACCCCCCTCCTGCCCCTCCACAGTGCAACCTTAACTCTGCCCCCTTGGAGCTGGCTGTAACCATTGGCAATGATTCAGTAAGTGCAGTGCAAAGGGAGATGGTGGATTCTCCATCTCTTGATGTTTTCAAATCAAGACCGGATGCCTTACTGGAAAATGCTTTAGTCAATCACAAGTTGTTAGGCGCAATACAGGAGTAACTGGAGGAAATTCTGTGGGCTGTGATATTCAGGAGGTCAGATTAGATTATCTAATGGCCCCTTTGAGGCATAAAATCTATGAATCTGCAATAAATAGCTATGAGGAAGGACTCAGAATGTGCCATTGTGTGCATTGTGTTCCACAGAGTTGAATTCCAGCATGGATCTGCATGCACTCCAGCTGCATTCATTTTGGTAGCTGTACTGAATGGTGGGAGTATCCGTTGGAATGGTGGAGAGTGAACTGTGATATGAAGAGAGGTGCATGTGTATCTTGAATGATCAAATATGCCTCATTTCAGTGCTGAATTTTGTTGGTTGCCAGTAGAGGTGCATAAGGGTGTCCTCTTGTCCTGGGGATTGTCTGCAGGCTGGTGGCATACATGGCATAAGTCTCCGGGGCTTAGTGAGAAGTAAGGCAGTATCTCAGAAGGACTCCTCGGGGCACATGTGACGAGATGGGGCCACTTTTGGTTTGTGTGGAGTTGGCATGCACAGTGTTTGCATGTAGGCCAGGGATTGGTGGTTCCTGTTTGCTACATCCAACCTAACCCTTTGCAGAGTGTTAGACTTTGTCCTGCAGTGCTCATGTGTTCTGTTTCCAAGGTTCCCTGTAGCATCTCTGAGTCTACAGTGCTGGTATGTGTGGTTGACATATTGAGGCAAACAGGGCAGCGTTCAGGTTCCATCACAGGGATGATGTACACCTGAACTTCCTATTTCTTAGCTTTCAGAGGTTTACGTTTAGCCACTCTCCACATTCTGGAAGAGCATGAGGCACCACTGGGCACGCTTAACTCTGTGTTCATAACATCTGAGGGCATTTAATTTCCTTTGTGTATTTTAAAAAATAATTTCTCAGCATCCTTGTATAGTACAGCACAGCTCTCCCACTCTACGGCCGCTGGCACCCTTGGCCAGGATTCCTCTGGACATAGAAAGCACTGGCTGCATGGTAGTCCCTTTGCCGCCCCTGCATCATCTCCTTGTCTCCCATCTCTCTTCCCAGCCAGCACAGCCTGGTTTCCTTCCTGCACACAGAGAGGCAGGTGTCAGCAGGGTGAGAACCTGGAGCAAGGCAGCAGGAACAGTGCCTGGATTACCCAGGTGTCTGTGGGGCTGTTTTTACTGCAGGGACTGACATGGTGGGGCATGGATGTGGGGCTTTTGGGAGGACAGAGACGAAACCTCCCTAACATCTCCCACTGCACAGCTCAGACCCGCCTCCTTTCCATTCCTCTTCCCTGCACTCCTCCAACCCCCCCCAAACATAACCCCCCACCATGTAATTCCCCACACACACACACACACACACACTGCTCCATGATTCCCTAAGTGGCTGCCATTCCCTGTATAAACCAGGAAGCCATGGGGTCTTCAAATGGGAGGTGAGAACATAAGAACGTCCATACTGGATCAGACCAATGGGTCCAATATATTGTCTTCCAACGGTGACCACTGCCAGATGCTTCAGAGGAAATAAACAGAATAGGGCAATCACTAAGTAATCTGTACTCTTTAATCCAGTCCCAGATTCTGGCAGTCAGAGGCTTAGGAAC